TTGCAACTATTATGAATCCAGGCCCAACTTGAAAACCGAGTTGGGCCCAACTTGACCCGAAAGCCTCAGCCCGTCGCATGCCAGAATCGCACAGGGAAACGCTAACCCTGACAAGCATTTTGTGCAAGAAATGCAGCTTTGGCATGTCGCGAGTTTCGTCTCGCGACGAGCATGTTGGCGGGATCCAATCAGCTTTGAGATCAAACATCTTTTTTCCAACCCGCGTCACTTTGGAACAGTAATTTGTCAGCCGAGGTTTCCAAGTGAAGTCACTAGGGAAAGTCCTCTTTCAAGTTGGGCATCAGGCGCTGTGTCCATGTCGGCGCCTAGAAGCAGCAGTGATACAGCAGCTTGTGGCCGCCGTCGTACGCGCCGTGACTTCCTTAACTGCCGCCGATTCTTCTGCACCCGCTGCTGCTGCTTCTGGCACCATGGCGCATCCAGCAGCGCCACCATCGCCCGCGCGTGTGGCAGTGGCGGCTGCTGCGGCTGATCCTGCTCGTGCTCGTGCCACCCCAGACGCACCTGCTGCCTCTGCTGCGCCTGCAGCTACTGTCGCAGCCCCTTCGGCGCCCACTGCTTCCTTATTTCCTGGAGCTACTGCACCTAATGCTTCTGCCTCTGCTGCAAGTGCTGCTTCCGGTGGCGCGCTTGCAGGAGCAGCGACCGACCCTGCTGCTGCTGCTGATGATGATGATACGGGCTACATCCCCCTGGACCGCCTATCCGTTCTGATTGCAGACGGAGACCCGCAGTTGCGTGGGGGCTTCACGCTGTGTTTCTGGGTGTACATTGTACGCGAATCCCCGTGCGGGGTCCTCATCCGCCAGGTGAGGCTGCGGCAGGGCTCGGGTGCAGTGGTAGCTGCAGTTGATTGTTTGATTCTCAAAAGTCGCTGCAAGGGGCGAGCTCGGGCTCAGGTGCAATGCTCGCCCGCACGCCAGGAAGGTTTGCAGATCGCGAGAAAGGTCTTTCCCCAAGTGTCAAGTCTAATCTCAAGTCCAATCGTGGTTCCCAATCGTGCCTCTTCTCCCTTTCTCTACCCCCCCGTGCACCCGCCTACCATCAGGGTCGACCCAACGCGCCAGCGCGTCTCCCATTCCTCACCCTGGGCGCGGACCGCTGCCTCTCTCTCCATCCGCCAACCGCTCACGCCCTGCAGGACCCGCCGGCATCAGCAGCAGCAGCGGCACAGGGGGATGCGGGGAAGGGGGAAGTGGGGAAGGGAGAAGTTGGGAAGGGAGGAAAAGTAATGCTGACGGCCGAGAAGGCATGTGCTGTGGGGGAGTGGGTGCACGTGGCATGTGAGGGGAGGGGAATTGCCTTTTTGCGGCTTGGCTTCGCATGGCTTTGCCTCCTTTGTTGTCGCACCTCACATTCTAGGTCCATCAGCGTGCATGTGAGCGTGCATCTGAGCGTGCATGTGAGCGTGCATGTGAGCGGCGCTGGTGGTTCAACCCGTTGCCGCCACCCCTCCGTTGCCTATGCATCCACTCCCCTCCCATCCCCTCCTCCCCCATCCCATCATCCCATCCGTACTCCCACACAGGTACATCCAGAAGCAGCCCGCCTGCGGATCAACAACACACAGGCAGCACACCACACATACCCCTCCCTTCCCCCCCGTGCTGCTCTAGCTGCTAAGCTGACCCCCCTGCTGCTGGCAGGAGGGGCTGGCACAGCTGCAACTGGTGTAGGGTCAGGGGCAGGGGCAGCAGACAAGAGCGCTAGTAAAAGTGCTGGTGGTGGTGGCACGACAGGGGGAGGGATGCACGTTCACGTGCCTGCAGATGTCGCCACTCACTATGCCAAGGTGGGGTGAGGGAGGGACAGAGGGAGAGGGAGAGGGAGAGAGATCGGGGAAAGGTGGGAAGAGGGGGAGTGCAGATGAAGGGGTTCCTGTTCCTGGTGACCGCAGGAATTTACAGTGGTCGTTTCTCGTTCCACGTGCAGCTGATGTCGTTTCTTTCACCTTCCCATCCCCCCCATTTCCCCCTGCCCCCATGCCTCCTTGCCCCATTTTCCCCGCCCCCCACTACCCGCTTCCTCCTCCCTTTCTTCCTCTAATAGTCGCCACGTCGTATGCTCCCCTCGCAGCAGCATCAGCAGTAGCAGCAGCAGTAGTGGGAACAACAGGCACGAAGGAAGGGGCAGCTGAAGCAGCAAAAGTGGCAGCAGGTGTGGAGCAAGTTGAAACTACAAGTTCAGGTGCGATAAATTCAGGTAAGATAGAAGCCACGGCAGCATTGCCTGCAGTATCTACTGCCATAGTAGCTGGCAGCACAACAGCAAGAGTAGCACCAGCAACACCAGCTGCTGCTGCCACAGGTGGCGGTAGCAGCGGTGCTGGTAGTGGGGCTGGTGCTCCTGGCGTTGCTGGTGGTTTGGCTGGGTTTCATCTTGGGAGTTCCAAGGACGCACCAGCAGCAGGAGGCGAGGGGAGAGGAGGAGGTGGGGAGAGCCACAATGGGAGAGGCTTAAGCGGGGAGAGAGGAGGGGGAGGGGGGGTTTCCAGGGGGAGGGCTAGCAGGAGGAGGAGGGGGAGGGGGTACAGGGGGAGCAGGAGGGGCAGGGGGAGCAGGGTTAGAGAGAGGGGAAGGAAGGGGAGGAGGGAAGGAGGACGATGAGGGAGATGGTAGGCGTGTGGGTGTGAAGCGGCCATGTATGGATTTGAACGGTGAGGCCAAGGTAGATAGTGAGGAGAGTGGCGAAGGGGATAGGGAGAAGGGGTACAGTGCTGCTCCAAGTGCTTCTGCTGCTGCTGCTGCTGCCTCCTCATTCCCCCACACGGCTCTTATTCCCAGCCCCAACGGCACTCTCATTCCATGGCCGCTCCCTCCAGCCGCAGCAGACGCTGCTGCAGCTGCTGTGGCCGCAGCAGCGGCAGCAGGGGCGGGTCGTCCTCCCACCCCACTCCAGGCGCAACCTCAGGTGCCCCAGGCGGATCAGCCGGAATTCTGGTTCCTTCCGCATCCCCTGCCACCGGCGGCGCTCTTGCGTCTGCCGCCGCTGTTCCGTACACGCTCGCCCCAGCTCCCCATGGAGCGCACCCCTCCCCGTTCCCTGGTGCGCCCTTCGATCCCTCGTACCTCCCGTTTCTCCCCGGCGCCCTGCCGCTGCTAGCCTCCTCGCTGCCTGTGGATGGCTCGGGCATTACCAAGCAAGCAGCACAGGCTGTGGGGAACCAGCTCGCCGCGCTGGTGCTTGAGGCTGGTGGCTCGGACTCACATGCTGGTGCTGGTGCTAATGCTAGTGATCTAGTTGATGGGGAACGGGAAGGAGGGCAGAAAGGAAGAGGTCAAAGGGAAGGGGGGAGGGGGGCAAGGGATGCAAAGGAGGGTAAAGAGCACAGCACAGGGGAGAAAGAAGAGGAGTTGGATGAGGAGGACGGAGGAGGAGGAGGAGGAGGAGGAGGAGGAGGAGGAGGAGGGAGGAGGAGGAGGAGGAGAGGAGGAGGAGGAGGAGGAGGAGGGAGGAGGAGGAGGAGGAGGAGGAGGAGGAGGAGGAGGAGGAGGAGGAGGAGGAGGAGGAGGAGGAGGAGGAGGAGGAGGAAGAGGAGGAGGAGGAGGAGGAGGAGGAGGGAGGAGGAGGAGGAGGAGGAGGAGGAGGAGGAAGAGGAGAGTGGGGTGCAGGAGAGGGGGACGGGAGTGGGGAGCAAGGGGCGTTGAGTATCCCCATGCGCGTCACGTTCCGGTACTGCTTGGGTGGGCGCAGGCAGAGTTCCTCAAGGCGGTGGCGCAGCGTGTGGGAAGGGAGGGGATGGCGCATATGGCGGAGAAAGTGGCGGAGATCACAGGGTGCAGGCACCAGGGGTGAGTGTTACGGCGAGGGAAGGGATTTTGGTTTCTGAGAGAGCGGAATGCAGGAGAGGGGATGGGAGTGGTCTGTGAGGGAAGAGCTTTTGGTTTCTGTGGGGGTGGCCAGAGAAGGGCTTTTGGTTTCTGAGAGAGAGGAATGCATATGACATGGGGGAGTGGGTGGAAGGAGGAGAGTGGGTGAGTGAGAGGAAGCAAGCTTTGCGGTGAGTGTGTATGGTGATGTGAAGAGGTAGCGGGCATGGGAAGGATGGTGTTGTGGTTTCAAGAGGAGTGAGGAGGTGGGGTAAGGAACGAGGTGGGGTAGGGAACAATGTGTCAAAGCACTTTGGCTCAAAGCCAATCGTGTCCCCATTCCTTCATGTTTTGTTTCCCATTCTTTCCTCTTCGCACCCACCCAACCCCCTCTCTCCCTCTCCCCTGGCATTCTCTCTTTCCCTCCTTATCTCTCTCGTATGCTCCCCGTCCCCCCGACCCTCTCTGTGCGCCCCCCACACCCTCCGGTGTTCGACTGTTGCTGTTCCTCCCAGCGAGCACGTGGGCATGGGGTGGGTGCTGCTGGCCGGTGAGGAGGAGCACGCATGGCAGACCATGAGTCAGGGCTTGCACACGCGCCCCCCCCCCCCCCCCCCCCCCCCCCCATCCCTCCTCTCCCCCCTTTCTTTGTGCACCCACACATTTTTCAGCGAGCAAGTGGGCATGGCGTGGGCGCTGCTGGTGGAGGAGGAGCGCGCATGGCACGCCATGAGTCAGGGCGAACACACCGCGCCGTGGGCCAAAGCGTGTGAGCAGCTGGAGGGGAAACTGCTGCAAGCTGTGGGCAGCCTGGAGAGACGGCTCACTGGTAAGGTGGGCTTGTTGCTGCGGCTACTGGTGCTGTTGCTGCTGCTGCTGCTGCTGCTGTTGCTGGTGCTGGTGATGGCGCTGCTGGTGGCTTCTTGCCTTGGATTGCCCTTGTGTTTGCGTGGGGGGGCCTCTCTGCTGCGCCAAATGGGCTGCTTCTCAATGCACACACCCAAACTGCATCAGATTACAGGAGCAAAAACAACCTCCCCATTGGTCTCTTTCCCACACCCCCTCCCTCCCTTCCCCCTCCCCCCCCTCCTCCCTCCCTTCCCCCCAGGACAAGGAGTATCTGCAGCATGTGGCAGGGTGCGGGGAGGCGGTGGCGCGGGAGCAGTGGGAGCGCGTGTGGCGGTGGTTCTACCCTCTCGCCCTCGCCCTGGCGCGTGCGCACTTGCGCCCCTCGTGGCTGTCGCTCGCGCACCTCTGGGTCATGGGTGCCGTCGCCAGGGAGGAGGCCAAGACCCTGCTGGCACACAAAACGGTGAGTCTTGAGTCGTTACTCAAAGCCCACCGCATGAGGAGTCTTTTTTTTTTAGGCTCCTCAAGAATTGACACTTTCACCACCAGGGAGGAGGCCGAGACCCTGCTCACACACAAAACAGTGAGTTTTTAGTCGTTAGTCTTTGCGTTGTCTGTTGGTTCAGCTTGCGTTGTGTCCTCAAGCCTTTTCTGTCTCCCTGCTCCCTCATCCGCTTCTTCGTCCTCCCCTCATCCCGCCTTCCCCCCCTCGCCTTGTCCCCTCCATACCCCTCCCCCTCCCCGCCTCTAAAACCCCCATCCCACCCGTCCTTCCCTTCCTCCTCACATCCCAATCCGCCAGCAGGCGTCCGCCCCATCGTCCCCTTCCTGGTACCTCATCCGCTACCCATCGGCTGCCACTGCCTGGCCGCACCCTGATGCCAGCTCGCTCGTCGTTAGCTTCACCGCCTCCCAGGGGGCAGGGGGGGCAGGGGGAGTGGGGGGAGGCGGGGAAGGGGCGGAGGCAGGGGTACGCGTGCAGCGCAGGCTGTTGTTGTGCCTGCATGCTGATGCTGCTGGGGGAGGGTGAGTGTGCGGACAGGGAATGTGTGAGCATGTGTGTGTGAGTTTCAATAGCAGCCTCCCCAAGTACACAACCACCATTTGATCATATCGTTTTTTTTTTTTTTTCATATCATATCGTATCATATCATTTTATATTCTTCACGAACCTGTAATATCATCTGCTCTCCTTCCCAGCACCCCCCACCACTTCCCCATCCACCACCCGCCCTTGATTCCCCCTTGCGCTCGCTTCCCCTCTCTTCCCCCTGCTTCCCCCCAGCAGGCAATCACCTGATGCCACATGTCCTCCTGATAGGCCCCTCCCTGACCTCCTCCAATCAGAGCCCCAGCTGGGCCAGTTGCTACCTCCCCCACCTGCACCCTCCCCTTGGTCCCTCAGTGAATGGGAAACTGCTGCCGCTCTCCCTCCCCCTCCCCACCTCATCCTCCCCCTCCCCGCTCCTCCCCCCCCTTCTGAGGGGGAGGATGCTGGGCCTGTTGGGGGGTTAGGGGAGAACGCTGGGGGGAAGCATGGGGGAGGGGCGGGACGTAGACTAAAGAGGGGGAGGGAGGAGCGGAAGGGTGTGGGGGAGGGGGAGGAGGAAGGGGAAGGGAATAGGGAAGGAGGTGGGGCAGGAGAGAAGAGAAGGAAAACGGGTGCGGGAGGGGGGAGATGGAGAGGGAGGAGGAGACATGGAGGGGAGGATGATGGGTTAGGTGATGGGAGGGGAGCCAATGGGTCTGGGAGGGGCGGGAGCTGGCAACCAAGTGAGAAGGAGAACGAGAGTGGGGAAGAAAGAGGAGGTGGAGACGGAGGGGGGCAGATGGAGGTGGGTGAAGGGGAGGTGGAGAACGGGACCTGGGGAGGAGACAACGAGAGGGATCCCCGGCACGTGGATGGGTCAACCGCCGCAGGCAATAGCAGCACTGCTGCTGCTGCTGCTGCTGCTGGTACCGCTTCAGGTGCTTCCGCGTTGCCTCAGCCTCCTGCCTCTGATCTCGCCTTCCCCTGCCTCTCCTCTTTCCTCGTGCCTGCTCCTGAAGCAGCCGCCATCGCTGCTGCTTCTGCCGCTGCCATTGCTGCAGCGGCAGCAGCTGCTGGTCCCACTTCCACTGCCTCTTCCTTATCTGCTCCGTCTGCTCCCCCCACCACTTCCACCTCTGCTGCTCCTCTCTGGTCCTCCCTCCCTCCTACTTCTCGCTCCCACCACTCCCCCATCCCTCCTCTAGGACCCTACGGCCCTATGCAGTCTGCAGCAGCAGCTGCAATGGCATCAGCAGCAGCGGCTGCAGCAACCAGACTCCACCCCCCTGCCATGCCCACCTTCCGTGTCCCTCCCTCCCTTGCTGCTGCTCCTTCCGCCCCTATACCTCAATTTCCAGCCACTGCTACCACCACTACTGCCACCCCTGCTGCCCATGCTCCCATGCGCGCACCTCCTGCCCTTGCCCCTGCCAACATGCCCCGCTCTGCTTCCCCCTTCACTGCTTCCGCCTCCACTCCTTCCCTGACAGCAACAGCAACACCTACTGGTTCGGGAGAACCACTCGATACTTCTCAAAGGCCACCCACATCCACATCCATGCCTCCATCACCAGCATCACCAGCACTACCAGCACCCTCCACTGTCCCCCCCTCCACATTCCCTCCTCCCTCTCTCCCTCCCTCCCACTCTGCTCCCTCACACGCCTTCCCTCCAACCACAGCCCACGCTCACACGTCCACCATGCGCCCACCCAGTAGCATCCCCCCGCCGCCTCTCCCCCACCACTCGTCCCTCTCCTCCCTTGCATCCCACTCGCTCCCTTCATCCTCGTCCTCCACTCCACCGCACCAGCAGGACGCCTCCCCGTGGCCCCTGGGCCCGCCCATTCTCTCCTTCCCCCCCTGCCGCCCTCCCTCCGCAGCCTCACCCTCGCCGCATCCCTTGCCTCCTCAACGTCCTCCCTGGGCTTGCACCTCACGTCGCCCTTTCCTCTCAACTCCACTTCTGCTGCAGCGGCAGCAGCAGCTGCAATGGCTGTTGCTGCTGGCATGCCTGTGCCACCTCCCCTCTCCAGATCCTCCCCCTCCCCTGCAACACATACAGTAGCAGCAGCATCAGGAGGAGGAGCAGCTGGAGAAGGAGCGAGGCACGGACTTTCTCGCAACCAGTACACGTCTCTCCTTGCGTCAACCATCTCTTCGACTCAGCCGCTTGAACCTGGCCCTACTTCCACTTCCACTCCTGCTACTGCTGCCACTGCTCCTTTCCACGGCATGGCTCCCCTTCACGAAAGGTCTCATCCCCCCATCGATACCATGGGTCCATCCCATTCTGGCTCTACCCATTCCGCCCCTCCTGTCCCTGCTGCCAGGGCTGCTGCCGGAGCATCCATTTCGCCCAGCCCCCCGCGACCATCCCTCCTGTTTGGGGCGGACATAAGTGCCGCACCGGCTCAAGCACAGGCAAGGGGGCTGGCAGGGAAGGCTGCAACTGGGGTGGGTGGTGCTGCAGCAGGTGTTTCTTGGACCAAGGTAGCTGCTTCTGGTAAAGCGCCTGCTTCTGTTGCTGCTGCTGTGCCTGGGGCTAGGACCTCTCCTTCCCCTACTGCTGCTGCTGCTGCTGCTGCTGGGGCTGCTAGTAGAGTGTCTCCTTCTCCTGCTGGCAGATTCCCTGCTGCTGTTCTCAATGCTGCTGCTGGATGTATGGAGCGAGAGGGCTTCACTGAGCAAGACACGGCAGGGAGAAGACGAGGTGATGACGCATCAGCTGGTGCTGGTTCTGGTGGTGGTGGTGGTGGCGGCGGCGGCGGTGGTGGTGGGGGTCGGGAGTCTAGGGGAACGGGACGGAGAGGAGGGGTCGGCGGCCGGAAGGAGGGTGGTAGAGGTGGAATGATTGTGGGGCAGAAGCTGGTCAGATATTATGAAACTAGAGATGGTGGTAAACGATTGGAGTTTGTTGCGGGTCCACACAAAGATAGAGCCGTGGTTACTGGCGCCACCGCTGCTCCTGCTGGCACAACTGCACATGTGGCTGCTGCTTCTGGATCTGTGCCTGCTGCTGTGTCTGCTGTTGCAGCTCCAGCTAGCTGGTTTCCTTGGGCAACTGCAACCACTATGGGTCAAGCTAACTCTTCAGTGGGTAGTGGTCAACAACAGCGGAGCTGAGCTAACTGTTACATAGTTAAGTCGCGTTACCGTGGATAATATGTAATTGCAATTTTGCATTTTTCGTGGAATTTGCGTTTTCAGCTACTTCACAATTAACTTGGTAGTTTGTTTTGTGTGCTTACGCTGCGGTGTGTAGTTACGTGACTTACATTGAAAGGTACAGAGGGATTTGGTGTGGCATGTCACTAACGAAACCGGCTGATCTCCTCAAATCCAGGGCTGTCGTTTACAGTTCCAATGACTCTGCTCTGGTTGGTGTCTGCCGCGCTCGCAAGGTCCTTCTGCCCCCCTTCCACCCCATCTTTATCCTTCCCACTTCCTCGATTCCGCCCGTGCAATGTCTTCCAGTCACTTTCGCGCGTCTGGTGACCACATCACACTTTTCATCATCACACCACACCTCCGAACAGCGGTGCCGAAGTCATAATCCTTGCTGTCAGCAAATGCAATCGTCACATCACCCTCCGAGCCGTGCGCCCAAGTTGTCCGCTTCATTTGGAGGTTGGTTCTGTACTTAGAAGGTGCAGCAGAGCAGAACCGCCCCCATCAGCGACACTGGACTACTGTACAGGTCAAGGTTGCTGTATCCATCATCGCAAAAGCGCTCGCTTTCGCAAACAATAGTGTGTGCAACACCATCCACCCACACAACACACCACCTATATTCAGCAAAATATGTATATATATATAATGAATGAATTTCCCTTTCCAAACAACGGATCAGCCAGTCTGGGCGCGGGGAAACGGGGAACGCCAACGCACGCTGCCCGGAAAATAATTATCTCCAGCCCAGATGTATCAACTCCTGGACCCTGGCTCCTGGACCCTGGACCCGCGCCCACACAGTCTCCTCGACCCTCAACCACGCTCCCAACAGCCCAGTCCGTTTCAAGTTAGGGTGTGTCCCGCGCGTTCGTTTGATTACGGTTGGACGAGATGCTCTCCGACTCAGAAGGTTCAAATAATGAATAGAAACGGTTGGGCAGGGTATTGAGGCAGGGTGTATAGGCGCGGGACACGCCCTAGTGACAAATCTATGCACTATGAACTGTATAAATCTAGTGACCAGTCTGGATCAAAGCTCTAAATCACAGAAAAATTACCCTTGATGTCAAGAAAGTAAGAGTTGTTTTCGACCTGATTCCGTTTTTCGGCGTAGTATTTTTTCCTGATTCCGTCTGCCTTGGACTAGTCTATGTGTATATATCGATATTACGAGGTATTGTTCTTTAATTCCGTTCGAAGTACACTTGTAGTAGGGATCTGTTCGTGGTGGTGCATCAACCACTCCCGCCCTTCCCTGACCTCCACTTAAGAGTGAGAGATGCTAGTTAGCAGGAAAAAAATATACACTTCCAACCGCTTGAGGCATAGTATGTGCGAGGAACAGTCCGTGGGGGCTCGAAGGCTTTTCCTTAGCCCTGGCGAAGGCCATTTGTCTCTGAGGATGTTAGTGTCAAACCAAGAGTAGCACTTCGACGAATCCGTAGTTTAACGGGTAGTGTTTCGGCGATTCTGTCCGCTAACGGGTAAATTCGGGGCCGATTCCGTGACCTAACGGAATACCCCTGGCCTTAGCGAGAGCCCTGGTCTGGTTTGAAAGATCCCAAGAGCGTTGTTCAAGTACTGCTGGGGCACCCAGAGTCGGGAGTCGGGACACCCACCCAGGCAACCCAGGCCGACCCCACCTTTCACCTCACTCAACATGTTATGAATGGAATCGCCGAGTAGCGCGGAGGGCAATGGCGAAACTGTGAACGAAAGAATGACAATATAGTGAAAGACAAAACAATATACAGAAAACCTAGGCTAATCTTAACCGCGCGATGCACAGGTTCGGAGAAGGGATCCGATGACGCGGAGCGCTTGGGAATAACGGGAAAAGGTTCGGTGCGCCACGTACGGTGACGGAACTACGTTTGGTATACCCGCTAGCAGTGCGCCTGAGTAAGGAACTACTTACTCCTTACACAACAACTAGTAACGTTTTGTAACCTTACCAATTGCCTCTTTCCCGCCCGTCGGGCTGCCCAACCCAACCCACGCCCTGATGTTCCGACCGACTCCTGTCACACGCCCTCAACACCAACGCGTGAAATAGTGCATCCACGGGACTCCCGCACTGCCAAATTACCTGCACACCCGCTCGCTTTCCGCCAGTTGCGGCCACCGTTGTGAGCAATCTTATGCAACAGCAGGAAGCAATACTCCCCGAAGGCAATCCTACGTGGGCAAATTAAGTCGAGCCGTGCTTCCTCCCAGTCAAGGTGGCGCCGGTGGGGCTATGTCCGCCGCCGCATGCGCAGCTGGAAGTCTCACCTCACCACCATCCTTCGCGTGCGCTCTGCCAGCACCACAACCCTAACGACGCTATCTCTAGCATCCTCGACATCCACATCCACATCCACATCCACATCCACATCCACATCCACATCCACATCGACATAGAAGCGAGGAATTCCTCTGCGAACAACTCGAGCACCGCTGCAGTGACAATCTCCTCCCGTCGCCGGTGGCACGCGCCTCTTCTGTGGGCGCTATCAGCACTCCAGAGCCGCCCGGCGCAAGGCGCAGCAAGAGCGGGGGTAGTTTAACGCGGAAGGCGGCCATGGCTGCGCATGAGCGTGTCCCCGCGGTTGGATGTTTCGCCGCCGGAGGTCGCGTTTCCCCCGTGCCGCTGCAGCAGCCGGGGTCGGACGATCGGCTGCTCGAGCAGCTATCGGCGCTGTCAGTGCACATGCAGCAGAAATTGCGGCAGAAGGAGCAGCAGCAACAAGAACAAGAACAAGAACAGAATCAACAACAGCGGCAGCTGTGCGAGCAAGCGTCACAGTCGCAGCTGCCGCCATCGCTCCCTCGCAACACGCCCGCCGCATCTCATGACAACCTAATGGCGCCCTCTCCTCCCCTCGCCTACCCCTCTCCTCTCGCCCCTCCTTCTTCCCCCATGCGCACGCCGCCCTTTGCGCACGCCCCCGCCTCCTCCCCGCCTCTCCTCCGCGCATGCATGAGCCAGCCCTCCCTCTTGCCCGCCGACGCCTCTCTCTCACCCCAACCCCCCCCGTCACCTCGTAACGGGTTCGCGCGCCCGCACGCGTACGCGCGCGCGCACTGCTCCGCAGCCCCCGTTCCCCCTGTTCCGCAAGAGGTGACTCTGCTCCCCAATTGGGCCTCCGCAGCCACAATCCCGCACATCCCCGCGCCCGCACCCGGCGGGGGTGCGCACAATTCCCCCATGGCGCACCACTTTCCACCGGCGTTTCGCCCGGCGGAGGATTTTGGCCACTCGCTCTCGCTGCACAATTCGAACCCCTCCATTCAGCCGCACGATCATCCTTACAGCGCTTTTCAGCCGCACGATCATCCTTACAGCGCTTTTCAGCCGCACGATCATCCTTACAGCGCTTTTCAGCCGCACGATCATCCTTACAGCGCTTTTCAGCCGCACAATCTTGAAGCCGTGAACGCGCCGCCAGGATGCGCGCACGGGGGGGAGACGGAGCCGCGGCTAATCAAGTTGGGCTCCGACCCCGGCAGCTGCAGCAGCTGCGGTTGCGGCGGGATTTGCGGCGGGGGGTGTGGGAACGGCGGCGGCGGCATGTGCAGCTGTAGCACGAGCAGTGGCGGCGGCAGTGGGGCCAGCGGGGGGGTGGGCGGCGGAAGCATGGAGGCGCAGCAGTGGGCGGAGCATAGGGGCGGCGGAGGGAGCGGTGTTGCGGGTGGCGCGCGGAAGGGGATGCGCCGAGTGCAGTCGGAGGCCCCTTTTGCCCCGTCGGGGGAACAGCGCCAGCTGCCCATAGGGGGGCGCTTCTGCGCGGAACGACCTGGCGTCCGGGAACTCGTGGGCGCTGGCGGGATGGCGGACAGAGGTGCGGGTAGGGATGGGGGGACGGATGGGGGGAGGGACGCGGGGAGGGACGCAGGGAGGGATGCGGGGAGGGATGCAGGGAGCAACGGTCCGCAGCCCCTCTTGACGAGCTTGGGCGGAGCGGGGTTTCTCCAGAGCGTGGAGTCGTCCTCGCTCTCCCTCTCCCTCTCCCTCTCCTGCAGCAGCCTGGGCGCCGCAAGTGACGGCAGCGGCAGCGGCAGAGAGAGGGAGGGGGGGCCCGAGGCGGACATGGAGGCGGAGTCGACGTTCAAGCCGCTGCCCCGCCGCAAGCTGCCGTCGCTCGCCTCTGCTGCTGCTGCTGCTGCTGGTGGTGGTGCTGCTGGTGGTGCTGCTGCTGCTGGACTGACAAGGCAGTAAGTCTGATTTGAGCCTGCTGCTCCACGCTCACTCACTCACACACACACTCAGTAGTCACTCACTCACAAACTCACTCACAAACTCACTCACTCACTCTCGCTGCTGCTTGCTTCATGCCTTTCGTAACGTGTAAGAATCAAATCTCAACACTCCTTCCGCAAACTCATATGCTGAGCACTTCAGTGATACACTTCCCCTCTCCCCTCACCCCTCTCCTCTCTCCTTCCCCCCCTTTCCAGGAGGGGTCTATCGGCGTTCATTGGGGGCAAGTCGCGCTCCTTCTCCTCTCTCGCGGACGTGGCGGCCGCCCGCTCCATGCGCGACCTTGCCAAGCCCCCGCGCCGCACGCCCCTCCACACGCGCGCCCTGCACCTCTCCGCTCGCACCCGCCGCCACCGCCGCCACCACCATCACACCCACCACAGCCAGCACAGCCTGATCCTCGGTGCTGCCTCGTACCCCTCTTTCCCATCCTCGTCTTCCTTCCCCGCCCCTGCCACCGCCACCGGCACAATCACCAGCGCCGGTGCCGGCATGAACCCTTCATTCCCTGCTGGGGTCCCGTCATCTCCCCCCGCCAGGTCGCTTGCCCCCGGCAGGCGGCCCGCAGGTGGCATCAGCAAGCGCACAGCTGCGCCGCCGCTGCACCCACGCGCCACGCTCGCCCTCGCTGCCGCCTTGGGGGGCCTGGGGGAAATGGGGGAAATGGGGGAGGCTGGGGGGGTTGAGGGCGGCAGGTGGAGTGGCACGAGGGGGGAAGGGGCAGCAGGGGAATTGAAAGCTGGTAGTGGCGCTGGTGGTGTAGCAGGGATGGGAGGAGGGGCGTTAGGGTTCGGAGGGAGTGGGGTTGCAGCAGCTGCTGCGGCGGCGGCGGCGGGGGGTGTGGGTGGTGCAATAGAAGTAGGAAGTGGGGAGTGGGAGGTGAGGGAGATGTGGCGGATGGAGACGGTTCCAGAGTAGGGGTGGATTGGCAGGAGAGAATCAGGTGCAATAGGGCTGTGGTGTGGTGTGGTGCGGTGTGATGTGGTGTGGTGTGGTGCGGTGTAACGCATCTCACAAGGAGTCTCTCGAGCCTCTGTAGTTGACGAGCACTGGGAGCTGCTTGAGGAGAACTTGTCTCTGAAATGCCTCAGCTGTTCCTAGCAGGAGGGTAGTTTACCGCAGCAGCAGCAGCACCAGCAGCAGCAACATCATCATCACCACTAGCAGCAGCAGCAACAGCAGCAGCAGCAGCAGCACCAGCAGCAGCAGCACCAGCAGCAGCAGCAGCAGCAGCAGCGGCAGCAACAGGAACAGCAGCAGCAGCAGCGGCAGCAGCAGCAGCAGCAACAGCAGCGGCAGCAGCAGCAGAAGCAGCGGCAGCAGCAGCAACAGCAGCGGCAGCAGCAGCAGCAGCAGCGGCAGCAGCAGCAACAGCAGCGGCAGCAGCAGCAGCAGCAACACCTCCCAACCTATTTGCTGTGGTTGGTCTGTGGTCTCACAACAACAGCATCACCTGAGTGCTCTCACTGCACATGGTCAGCTGATGGGTGGAACACAGTGGGCTGCTGCTACCACCACGACAATGACTACTGGGTACCGGAAGTGGTTTCACAGCACATGTCACTTGGCCAGCTGATGCGTGGATGGGTGGATGGATGGGAGTGGCGAAGCTTCTCCATTCACCTCCTACGCTTGTGGAACAACCCTCCCCCCTCTTCCTCCCCCCCCTCTTCCCCCCCCCGCTCTTCCTACCCCTCCCTCTTCCTCTCCCCCCCCCCCGGTTCGCCCTTTTGTTTCCTCCTCATCCAATCTGCAAGGCGTGCTCCAGCTCACCATGTGTGGGTATGGGGCTGGCACACCGCGGCTCTCCCGCTTGGTTTTGACGAGACACATCGGCCGCTTCGCGACCTCCTTTTCAGGCTGTGAGACAGGGATGTACGTCCACATGCAAGCACCAATAGCAGCGACTGTAATACCTGCTAGAGCTTATATAGCATCAGCACCAGCAGCACCACTACCGGCAGTAGCAGCAGCAGCAGCGGCGGCAGCTGTGTAATGGGCTATCTTTCGTAATGGGTAAGTATGTCATTGACAGATGCTATGCTGCTTGCAAGCTACTGCTGCTTGCAGGGTGCTGCTGCGTGCGGGGTGCTGCTGCATGCGGGGTGCTGCTGCGTGCGGGGTGCTGCTGCGTCATCATCCGCGTCCTGTATAGTGCAATTACTACCGTGCCTAGGAGTTGGCTGCTGCAACAGCCTGCTGCTACCACCACTACTACCCAAAACGTTCTTCTACTGCTACTACAATATAGTCCTGTGTGTACCGGTAATGTGAGGAGCTCTAGTACTGGTGTTGGGACGATGAAGCTCCTGCCTTGCGCCGGCTGCAGTTCGTTTCCCCCGACTAAGTGTTGGGTCGGGTTGTGCCGTGCTGTGGTTGAAGTCGTTTTTGTCTTATGAGCTTGAAAGATGAACTGGCAGCCCCCCCCGTGCTATTTTAGACTGGTTCAAATCTTAGAACGTGGAAGGAGCTATATTTTGTGCTCGCGGGGTTCACATGAATCATTCAGAGCTTGTAGTGTAGTGTATATTGCAGGTTGACATGGGCTTAAAACTCAACAAACTTTAAGTGCAGTACAGCGAGATGACTAGTACGTTGGTAAGGGCGTCACTACAATTTGAGGTTTGGTTAGCTATTTTGCGTTCTGAAACAATAATTAAAAACTCAAGAGAACGATTATAGGGAGACACCCATAGCATCATCACCCAACAACGAGACTACAGCGAGCAGCTGTGACGATAGCTACCTTATCAGACGAGGGTGGCTAGAAATAAAAAGCCACGTACCGATAGTACACCTATTATACTACCTCACAAGGCTACAGAGTACCCTAATAAAGAACTGAAAAGACAAAAACATACGGAAACCATTGGATTGGACGGAGGGGGAATGAAATAAGGGGAGGAAAGCGAGATGCAGTGGAGAAGAGGAGGACCACCGTAGACTAGATTACAAGCGGAGGCGGGGATGTGCATGCAAAGCCCGCCGAGCCTGCTGCTGCCGCATGATCTGTCGCCGCATCAATACAAACACCACCAGCAGCACCACCACTACTACCACCAGCAGCAACAGCAGCAGCATGGAAGCTTGCAGGCATAAAAGCTCGCATGTTCAGCGCACCCATCTCCTTGCCCTCATGCGCAGTGGCCTCTTCCCTCTCCCTGCCCCTCTCCCGCTGCCCATGCACAACAAACCCTTGAGTCACCGATCCTACCAGTGACCCCAGGGGGTCTGGAGCTGTGCGGGCAGCAGGACGGGGGGCAGCTGCAGGTGCAGCAGCAGCTGCGAGCAATGGCTGGTCCAGGGAGAGAGTGTGAGGCGAGGAATACGCAAATGCTGCTGCTGCCGCGCTTGTGGCTGCTTGTGATCCTGCTGCTGCTACTGCTGCTGCTACTGCTGCTGGTGCTGGTGCTGGTGCTGCTGGGTTCGCCAGTTGTGCGGGTGGCACTGGTGATGCTCCCAATCTGCTTGACCCAGCATAGCCTGAATTGCTTGTAGTGCCAAAACCGCTGCCACTGCCACCACTACTGCTGCTGCCGCTGCCCGTACTCCCAACAGCACCTGGGATTAAAGGAGAACCCACTCCAGTAAGCAATCCCCCACCCGCCCCACCCGCCACAACAGGCGAGCCCACAGGTGTAGCAGATGAAGGGAGCGCAGGGGAGGCAGGGGCAGATGTGACGCCGGCGAAGATGTCTCGGAACAGCGGGTGTGCGCCCCTTCGCAGCCGGCTGCCGGTGAGCGCACGCCGCGCCGAGGAGGGCGCAGGGCAGCCCCCGTGGCTTAGGCTCGCCTGCAGGTGCGCATGGGGCAGGGGGTGCTGGTGGTGGTGGTGGTGGTGCTGCTGCTGCTGCTGCTGCTGCTGCTGCTGCTGCTGCTGCTGCTGCTGCTGCTGCTGCTGCTGCTGCTGCTGCTGCTGCTGGGGGTGCTGCTGGTGGTGCTGCTGTGAGTTATAGGGCGGATGGTGGTGATGCTGCGCATCGTGCTGTGACTGGCTGTGATTCTGGTTCTGGAACTGCTGCTGCTGCTGCTGCTGCTGGTAATAGCTACTCTGCATCCCCTGATGCTGAATCCCGCTCTGCAAGCTCCTAATGTGCTGGTTCACAAACTGCTGGTTCAGCCCCTGCTGACTCCCCCCCCCAAGCGCCATGGCAGGCGAAGCAGGGTCCCCCTCTCTCCCTTCCCTTCCGTCTCTCCCTGCTGCCGGCTGGAAGAGAGCCAGCTTGGGAGACGGCCAGGCAGAGGCGGGCAGGTGAGGAGGAGGAGCAGGCGAGAAAGCACCCGTCACGCATGTAGCAGCGGCAGCAGGCCAAGCAGCAGCAGCAGCAGCACCGGCAGGAGCAGGAGCAGCGAGAGTCACTGTGATTGGCGACGCTGGGAGCGACACAGAACCACCTCCACCACCCCCCCCACCGCCACCAGGAGTCCTGGACCCCACAGGCGTACCGGGCCGGACAAGCCGCCTGACGATGCGCCCCCCCTGCGTGTGGTACAGCAGCCAGGGGTGCGTGAGGATGCGGTCCACGGTGGGGCGGCGCCCAGGGCACGGGTTGAGCAGGCAGCGCACCAGCGACTTGGCTTCAGTTGACACGTACGGCCAGGGGGGCGAGGAGAAGTCCAGGGGGGAGGAGGACGAGGCAGAGGCGGAGGCGGAGGCGGAGGAGGAGGAAGCGGGTCGGGTGGTGCTGGTGACGGTGGATGGTGCAGGAGCGGAGGGTGCAGTAGCAGTAGCGGGAGCAGGAGCAGTAGCAAGGGAAGCGGCAGCGAGGGCAGCGGCAGCGGTGGCAGCGGAGAGGGCTGCCCGGCCGTGGCAGCGGGAGGGGCAGGGGCAGGGGCTGCGAGCTGGGCTGGCAAGGAGTCGGGCGTGCGTGAATGGACTGTTATTGCCGAGACCGTGATTGTGATTGTATTGCAATGCTGCTCCTTTGGAAGCCGGGGTCATGAGCCCACCACCACCACCACCACCACCACCACCACCACCACCACCACCACCACCACCACCACCACCACCACCACCACCACCACCACCACCACCACCACCACCACCACCACCACCACCACCACCACCACCACCACCACCACCACCACCACCACCACCACCCCCACCACCACCCCCACCACCACCACCAGCTGCAGCTGCAGCCGCGGCCGCAGCCGAAGCGGCGGCGTTCGCAGCATCGGAATACGCTCTCACTGACGCGAATATAGCGTCTGTATTCGGGCCCCAGAACGGCGGATAGCCAGCCAATAACGAGTACAGAATCACACCCAGCGACCAGACATCAGCGGGGAACCCATACGACCCAGAGATCACCTCCGGCGCCATGTATATAGGCGAGCCTGCAGGCCCCACCACACTCTCCCCTGGCCTCAGCCGCACCGAAAGCCCGAAATCCGCAAGCTTTACCCGCCAAGCAGGGCGGGGGGGAGCGGGGGAGAAGGGGGAGGAGGAGATGACGTGGCAGGGGGAGGAGGGGGCGGACGAGGGGGAGGAGAAGGAGATGGGAAAGGGGCGCGGGTGGGAAGGGGGGCTTGCTGGTTGGTGGGAGGATGGGTGGTGGTGGGGAGTGTGAGGGAGAGTGTGGGTGTGGTTGCGAGGGAGAGAGTAGGTGTGCGACGGGGTGTGGGTGTGGGCGTGGGCGGGAGGTCTGGAAGGGAGAGGGGAGGATGGGACGGAAGCGAATGCGAAAGGGGTGGGGCGGACAGCAGCGGCGGGGGAGGAAGGGGGGGTGAATACCGGTGGTTGGGGGGCGGCGGAAGCTTGGGGGGGGGGGCTTGGGGGAGGGAGGGTTGTGGGCATGGGAGAGAGTGAGGCGCAGGCGGGGGGAACGAAGGGGAGGGCTCAACTGGAGCGGCAGCGGCAGCAGCAGAAGCAGAGGCAGAGGCGCGGGTACTGGAGGGATGGGCAGAGAGGAACTGAGGTGCACAGGAGACTGGGGGAAGAGCAGGGGCGGAAACGGCGACTGGGAACGGAGAACTGGGGACCGGGAAGGGGGAGCGGTTGGGAGCAGCAGACGGGGCTGAGGCAGGGGAGGGAGCAACGGCGGGAGCAGGATGTACAACAGTAGCGGCAGTAGCGGGAGCAGTGGGAGCAGTGGGAGCAGTGGGCGCGAAGATAGCTCGCGCAACAAAGAGCTTGGACAGCCTTCTAGTCCTGGTCTCGCCGTCGCCACCCCCGCTCGCACCAGCACCAGCAGCAGCAGCAGCACTATTAGCAGGGCCGGCGGCAGTGAAGGGCCTTAGAGGGGACAGCATTGCGCGGGCCTGGTGCGCCACATCCAGATCCAGATCTAGACGCGCATCTAGACGACCATCTAGACGCCCATCTAGACGCCCATCTAGACGCGCATCTAGATCCATAGGTTTGATGGGCGACGGCAGCATGTGCTCCTGCTGCCGGTGCCGCGCCTGCAGCACCGTGACCGGCCTGATGGGCGACGGCAGCGCCGCCCCCTGCGCCACGTTCAGAGACCGCATGGCTGATGGCACCATGCCGCGACCGCGTGCAACCATATCCCTGCCCGCGCCCACATCCACATCCATGTCCGTCGCCAGCCCCAGTCCGAGTCCCATGCTCGCCTCCTTTCCACATGGGCTGGACTCCATGCCGCCAGCAGCAGCCCCAGCAGACCCAGCAGCTATTGCAGTGACTGGTTTGCTAGGCGACGGCAGCACGCTCCTCGCCACCTCGTTGGCGCACGCGTCAAAGCTCTTCACAGGCGTCAACGCACATGCCGCAGCCGCAAACGCCGCACCACCACCACCGCCAGCACCAGCACCAGCCAAAGAAACCCTAGCAGCAAGTGCAGCCACGGGTTTGCTGGGCGACGGCAGCACGCTCCTCGCGACCTCGTTCGCGCACGCATCAAAGCTCTTCACCGGCGTCACCGCACACGCCGCAGCCGCAAACGCCGCGGCGCCACCAGCACCAGCATCAGCAGCACCAATGCTGCCACCCGCAACGGCGCGGGAGCCGTCAGAAGCAGCACCACCAGCGCGGCGCGCGGCCGCATGGGCGGGAGAGGCGGAACCACAGAGGGCGGAATCGGGAGCGGCGGCGGAAGCGGCGGCGGGCGGAAGAGAGAGCTCGTCCATGGGGGGAAGCGCGGGCTGCTGCGGGGAGAACGTGGAGAGTGTGATGGGCGCGGCGGAGGCGGGGGGGGGAAGCGCGGCGAGGGGAAGCGCGAGAGGGGAGTGGCAACCGGAGGCGAGGGGGGGAGAGGCGGGAAGGGGGGACGGGGAACGAGGGGGTGCGGACGAAATTCGCATTTCCCCCTCCGCTCGCGCTAGCTGCCCTTCCGCCAGCTGCCCTTCCGCGCGCCTTGCATCAGCGCACGGCGCTGGCGGATGGCCGTCCACGGCATTCCGCATCACCACGTCGCTGCCATCACCCACGCCACGGCTCGTCGCGCGCGCATCTTTCTCCCGCGTCTCCCGCCCCTCCCGCGTTTCCTGCGCCTCCTGACCCTGTTGCCCCCCTCTGCCCTCCTCCACTTGCCCCTGCTCCCTGCTCGCCTGTCGCGGCTGACATTGCTGCTGCTGAAACGGCTGTGGCTGCTGGTGCGAGAATCGTTGCTGGTGACTCGGCATCTGCTGCTGCTGCTTCGCCATCGTCGTCGCCATCTGGTACTGGGCTTGTCGCAGCGGCGCGAGCTGCTGCTGCTGCATCTGATGTTGCCGTCCGATCACCACACCAGGAGACATGTACTGTGCGAGAGGCTGGTGTTGCTGCTGCTGCTGCTGCAAGGACGTCTGACGATGCTGCATCTGCATCTGCACCTGAGCCTGGTGCTGCCGTTGCTGCTGCCACGGACCCGGCGGCCCACCCACCGAACCAGTCGCCGAACCTGGCGCCGAACCTGGCGCCGAGCTGACAACCGCGCCAGGGGCGGGTCCCCGAGCAGGACTGGACGCAAATCCACCACCCGCGGAGAATCCCGCGCCGCCACTACGCCCAGCGCCACCGGCAGCAGCCGCAGCAGCAGCCGCAGCAGCGGGCGACGTGTCGAGCAGAATATTCTCTGGCTTTAAGTCGCGGTGCAGCACGCCCTGCGAGTGGCAGAACGCGACGGCGAGCACGAGGTCCCGAAACGCGAACGCCGCCTCGCGCTCGGACAGCCGCCGGCTGCGCTGCAGGTGGTCGAACAGCTCTCCCCCCTCGCACAGCTCCATAAGCACGTGCACGGCGCGCTCGTCTTCTAACACTCCGCGCAGCTGCACCACGTTCGGGTGCCCCGCCAGCCGCTGCATGGCGGAAATCTCCTGCCGAACTTCGTCCCATTCCTCAGGGTCGGCGATTCGCGTTTTCGAGATGCTCTTGCAGGCCAGCCGCTCGCCCGTCGCGCGGTTCTCCACCTCCCGAACCACGCCGAACCGCCCCGAGCCTAGCTGCCGGCCCACGCGGTACACTGCGTCGAGCCGCTGCCATGTGGAGCCCGCTAGAGGGGCGGGCGCGGGAGCGGGGACGGCGCTTGCTCCCCCCGACTGAGTTTGCCGCGCCTCGGTGCAAGGCGGCGCAGTAGCGGCGAATGCGGGGCGGGACGAGACGGCGGAAGCTTGCGGTGGATGCGCGACGGGCGCGGGAGGGGAGCACGCAGCAGTGGCGGAGACGGCGGGTTGCGCAGAAACCGCGCCGCAAAGCGGGCTTGCGGCGACGGGCGGCGGGCACAGCCTTGTGTCGGCGGACTTTTCGTCGCACGGTCTAGGGGGACAGGAGTGGTCTAGCGACAAGTCGGAGACAGTGGGCGCGTGCTCCGAACTGCCTAGCGGCGGCAGCGACACGCACGACGATGCCTCCGTCGCTGACACTTCCGCGGGGTTGTTCTGCGCGCCCACTCCGCCTCCGCCTCCGCATCCGCCTCCACCTCCGCCTCCGCCTCCGCCTCCGTTTTCGCCTTCGCCTCCGCTACACACGGCGGATGTTCCTCTCCCAGGGGCGCACCCACCCGCTGTCATGTCCGCCGCCTGCGCGGCTGCGGGCAGTGGCGGGCGGGGAATTACGCATTCCGGCGGGGCGTTCGCGGCGGACTCGCGGGAGGACGGCGTGGGGGACGGCGGCGGTGGCGGAGATTCGCAGCGCTGCCGTTTGGCGACGACCCGCTGGAAGCACACCCCCTCCCCCTCAAGATTCTCCCCACTCACTCCGTTAACTCCCTCTCCTTCCATCCCTCCCCTCCCGCAAGAAACGTCCCCCTGCCCCCGGCTCCGCTTCAACTCGCGCAAGCTCTCGGCGGCGCAGTCCCCCCCCTCCCCTCTTGACATGCTTCCGCAGCCGCCGCTGGCGCTAGAAACGGCACCTTCTGCGTCCAAGCGCTGCTGCTGCTGCGATGACTTTCTGCATAGTGATTTCCCTTTGTAATTGGCGCTAGGAACCT